TTATCCCGAATTTTGCTAATAAAACTGTTTAAATTACTTTCCTGACTTCTCCATAGAAAATCAAGAGAACAATTTATCAATTTGCATCAAATAAGTGCAAGCGGTTTGAGAAAACCTTTCATCCAAACGGCATGCATGGCATGGCTTCTGTGTTAGAGGCTGGTTGATGCTTCAGGCAGCTGGGATTATCACTTGACCTCATTTCTCATTTTCTGCTAGTTATCATGTAATTAAAAGCTCTATTCGGTATCACTATTAAAACTCTGGAAAGGTTATGGTCTGTCCAACTTCCTGTTTCCATCATCCTGTAGCTCAATAAGAAACTTAAAGGTTTTTAAAAGGAAAACAAAAATGGAGGTTTTGTTTCTTCTCAAAAAAGTTGAACAATCCACTGGCCTTTTTTTCCAAGTTTGAAGACGTTTCGCTTCCCATCCAGGAAGCTTCAAAATTTTGCTTCATCTTGCTTCTGTTTCTCTTAGGTCTGGTTTGAATCTTTTCTGGTTATTCATTCTATACAGTCATTTAGAGTTAGAAGTAAGACTGCAGAAATTGGGAAAAGTGTCTTTTTATTCACAGTTATTTTGTATCTGAAATGAAAAATATAGAATAATTTGTACTTTAGCCTTAAAGGTCTAGTGGAGGAGGTTTTGAAAAGACCCGCCCCGCTCCACTTTAAAAAAAGAAATGCACAACACTATAACTACTCCTGAGAGGGAACGCCTATTACACATGTGTGAGAGCGTGCAAGAGCCCATTTCTCCTCGTGCACGCTCTGATTAAAAGTTTCTGTTTGCATCGCTCATACAAGCTTACTTTCCAAAAGAAGATTTGCAACTTTTTCCACCATGTCAGACTCACCACCGCTAAGTGAAAATGGGGACGAGCACGTAGGACGGCCTTACGTAAACATATCACCAGAATGATAGACAGATAGGAGGACCACTTATTTTAATAATCCACCCAGAAAAAGAACATCCTACAATTATACCTTTAAATACTGCTCTAAGTAAGTTATTCTTTTGATACATGGCAAGTCTTAGAGTCTATGTACCATTTTGTTATGTAAAGATTGAATTAGATTACCAAATTAGTTGATGATTATTGCAGTAATTAATCTAAATAGAAGTACAGCAGAGGTGGAAAAGATGCAATTCCCCCACCAACCACTAGTTGGCTGTGTGCTTGGTATCTATCAACATTTAACACTTCCTGGCTAGCAAATGGGAGAGAAATTATCCTTCAGTTGAAAAAGCATCTTTATTCCGAAAAGATTTAGCACTGCAAGTTAAACATTGGTGATGTTTCCATCCTCTGCGGGTGGTAAACTAGTCAACAGCCACTTTGTTTTCAGCATCTGAATTCATTTCTAACCAGATTTGGGTCATACTGCTCATGTGTCAGGGTTTCCCCATGAGAAACATTCAATTTATCCCTGTTAAATGACAACAGAACACAGGGATGATTATTCTCTACATGCAGTTCAAATGTACGCTTCTCCCTTTTTAATCATGAAAAGCCTTAAAACCAAACAACCGCTTCTGTTCCAGGTCAGGCTTCTGCAACCTGTGGCTTTTAATAGTGGCCTAAAATGATATAAACAAGTAACTAATGTAGTATAATAACAAATATCAATCTTAGAGGAGTTTTTTTTAAAGCATATTTGATTGAATGACCTTAAAAGTATTTGAAATATGTTTTTAGATTAGGTTAGCTTGGAAATAATGTTGATTCTCTTTCATCAAATAACAT